ACTTGATCAATCAGACCAAGCTGCTCTGGACGGCTCTTTGCGTCTACCTCTTCCTCCATAAACCCTTCTCCCTCCAGCAATGCGGTGCGACCAATCGCTACCAAGCCCTTGGAGCTGACGACATGGTTGCGACTAGGTGCCATGGGCATGCTGCTACTGGCGTCCGTGCTCCTCTCGGCGCCTACTGCCAGCGACGCCGACGTCGAGGCCATAACGATTTCGTCCACGCGCTTCTACTACGGCTACGTTCCTGTCGTCGGCGCCTCCATCTTGTCGGGCGTCGGCGCTGCGCTCACTCAGCTCTCCCTGCAAACGCATGGTCGCGATGCGTCGCTGGTGACGATTGAGCTCTGTGTCTTTGGCGCTGTCTTCCTCCTCGCCAACCTCGCCGCCGCTCCCGGCGCTACCTTGGACTTTGGCGGCTGGACAACATGGACACTTGTACCCGTGTTTACCAACGCGCTCGGCGGGCTGCTCGTCGGCACGGTACACCTCGACTTGGCGAACTAGGCTCAACTTGATATCGTCGAGTAGGTGACGCAGCTCGCGGGTGGCATCATGAAGTCGTACGCACTCGTCGGCGGCATCCTCCTCACGGCGGGCGCCGAGGCGCTGCTTGACACGGACGCCCCTGTGCTTTCGCTGCGCATGGGCCTCGCGACGGCCCTCGTCATGTCGAGCATGATCATCTACAGCAAGTACCCGTACCAAGCCAAGGCCAAGCAAGTCTAGCACAGGTCCTCCTAGACGCTTCATCCCATAGACGCCCGTAATCATACCAATCGATGTGTGTATTTTACAAGATGAACGAGTCGGCCGCTACGTCGGGTGGCGAAGGCACGGGTGCTTTCAGCTTCTCGGCAGTCAGCGACGCTCCCGCGCTCTGGGCCGTCGCCAACGATTGCTGGACAGTTCCCCGTGGCGTCTCGTGGCTTGCAGGCTTGGCCGTGGCATCATCAACAGCGTCGACCGACTGCAATACTGACGCTGGCGTGGTGGCGTGTTCACGCGCGGGTGTGGGCTCAATCCTGCCGACCGATTCATTTGCTGCCGTCATCGCAGGTTCAGGGCTTTGACTGCCGTCGTCAACGTCGGTTCCGGAGGCACTCGGGTTGCTCCAATGAAGCGCTTCTTGCGTGTGCTCTGCTGGTGCTCCGTATGGCTGTTCAAACTCTTCTGCCCACGGCTGCTGAGATGCATGCGCTTCTTCCAACGACGGGGCTTCAGTAAGAGCAGCGCATTGTCCATCCTCAGCAGCTGTGGTCGCCCAGTGAGCTTCCCATGAAGCTGCATCGGACTCGGCTGGTGCCCATGACGCTCTAGTGTCCGACTCTCCGGACTGCAGCACGGCAGTTGCTCGTGACGTGGTGGCGGGCCGAGTGAGCTCTTTTGGCGCACCAGTGGATGACAGAAGGGCACCGCCGTCTGTGCTGGGACGTGCGACAGCCACGGACACTGGATGAACCACGACCGCGTTCAAAGAGGCCAAAGGAACGGCCTCCTGAATTGCTTCTTGAGCTGGAGGTGCCACTTCTGCTGTTGCTTCGGCTGGCTCTGGTTCATGTAGCGATGGTGTTGGTGCACCACCACATGACTCAACACGATCTTCGACGCATACATCCGCACCTTCGGGCTCGTCCGTCAGACCATTGGGCGCTGCGTCGACCCCGTCCAGCGTCGCGCCATCCACCGCTCCGGTTCGAGGCTCCTCTTCGTCAGAAGTACGTTGAACAATCGGCGTGTCTGCTTCGGCGGTGCCATTGAGTACTGTGTCGCCACCTTGATCCGTTGCCTTGTCCAGTGCGAGCTCACTCTTCGCAGCACCAATGTTGTCGGAAACGACAGGCGCATGCGCTGGCTCGTCGGCCGAGGAATTTTCTTGCGCGCCCAAGCTCAAGCTGTCGCTAGTGCTTGCTGCTGTATCGCTGCGCGGGGCACCCGAGATGTCTTTGATGGACGACGTCGCTGGCAAAACCGAAGTCTCCACGTGAGTCGTTCTGTCGGAGAGACTCTCAGGCTCAACGCACGCGCTCTCGAGCTCTGCTTCGACAAGCGGCGAGTCTGCAATTGCGGGCGCCAGCGTACGACCAGACAAAAGCGCTGCACTATGGTCAGCGCTTGGCAGCGCCTCGACGTTAACGGTGGAAGGCGCTTCCTCGCGCACGGACATCTCCGCTGGACTGAACGAGGCATCGACATTGTTTGGTTCGTGCTGCTCCTCCAAGCGTGTGTCGGCAGAACTCGACGCAGCACCTGACGGCTCGCAATCTCCAAGTGTAGCGCTGGTTATCTCTCTTGTCAAGGGCTCCTTGGCGAGCGAGCCATCGAGCGTTGGCGTATGCTCCAAGGGTGTCGTGAGTACAGCGTCCGATGTTGCCATCGTCATTGACGGCGCAGTCTCCATTGGCGTCGGTGCCTCGTTGAGAGTCGGCACGGGCGTGTCTTGCACCGACGGCGAACTCTCGCGATCCTCGGCCGCGACAACGGACACCTCGAGGCTCGTTGGCATTGTCGTGGGTGGCGCCTCCGAGTACGCCAATGCGCTCACCATCGCAAGTTTCAGAGCGACGCTGCTCAAGCAAGCGTCGGCCGCCCGCCGCGCGTTTTCCAGCCAGTGAGGTGGGCGCTCAACGGGCGTTGTGGTCAGCGGCAGCTCTT